AGTAAGTGAAATAAAAAAAAAATCCACAGGGAACCAACACTGAAGGGAAGGAAGCAGGGATTCAAATCAATGATTTGGAAGATAAGGAAGAAATAAACATTCAGCCAGAAAAGAAAGAAGAAACAAGAATTTTAAAAATTGAGAAGAGTATAAAATTCTGGGACATCTCCAAAAGTGCCAACACCTGTATCATAGGGATGCCAGAAGGAGAAAAGGAAGAGCAGGAAATTGAAACTTGTTTGAAAAAAATAATGAAAGAAAACTTCCCTAATTTGGCAAAGGAAATAGACATAAAAGTCCAGGAAGCACAAAGAGTTGGACCCAAAGTTAGACTGCACAAAGACACATCAAAATTAAAATGCCAAAGGTTAAAGATAAAAAGAGAATCTTAAAAGCAGCAAGAGAAAGGCAGTTAGTTACCTAGAAAGGCGTTCCCAAGAGACTATCAGCTGATTTTTCAAAAGAAACTTTGCAGGCAAGAAGGGATTGGCAAGAAGTATTTAAAGTGATGAAAAGCAAGGACCTACAACCAAGATTACGCTATCCAGCAAAGCTATCATTTAAAATGGAAGGGCAGATATAAAGTGCTTCCCAAGCAAGGTAAAACTAAAGCAATTCATCATCACCAAGCCCTTATTATATGAAATTTTAAAGGGACATATTTAAGAAAGAGAAGATCAAAACTATGAACATTAAAATGACAACAAACTCACAACTATCCACAACAGAATCTAAAAAACAAAAACAAACCAAGCAATCAGAACAGGAACAGAATCACAGATATGGAGATCATTTGGAGAGTTATCAGTTGGGAGAAGAAAGGAGGAGAATGGGCTAAAAGGTGCAGGGATAAAAAGGCATAATTGGTAGGTACAAAATAGATAGGGAGATATTAAGAATAGTATAGGAAATGTAGAAGCCAAAAAACTTATATGCATGACACGTGGACATGAACTAAGCATGGGGGGGATTGCTGGAAGGAAAGTGGGTACTGAGCAGAGAGAGGCAAAGGGGAAAAAATTGGGAAAGCTGTAATAACACAATCAAAATATACTTTAAAAAGTTCTTTATGAAATTGAGGAAGTTCCTTTCTCTTCCATATTTGTTGAGAGTTTTAATTATGAATGGATGTTAAATTTTGTCAAATTTTTTTGGGGGACTCTTTCCCCAATTTACTCCCAATACTTAAACTGTTTTTTTGCATATTTGAGACACTCCATAAATATTTGTTGAACTAATAAAGCTACGCTAAATACACTTGAGAGTGGACGGGCATACTTCAGTCATTTAGAAGCTTGAGATGAGCTCAGGGGACCTGAGAGAATTAGAACGCCTGTTGGTGTCAGGGTACTACACTTGCCTAAATGCTTATGCAAATTTTATAACATTTCTATGAAGTAAGTATCTCCATTTTAAAAATGAGAATGAGCCATGGATGGGATGAATAAAAAGCTATCGTATGGTTGTGATGTGGGGAAGAAGTCCTGTGTTTCATAACTCAGTGGAAATAAAGAGAGAATCATGAAATTCAGAAAACAGAGTAACATACAAAAGAAGCTGGTTTCAAATACAGTGCAAGTTAAAATGGAATGTGATTTTGCCATTTGATTGAGTAAAAGAATCAAGAATCCGGTTGGCCTGGATACAAGGAATTTTGTTCTTGGAACACCTGCTGGACCACTAAGAAGGAAAAGTAATGCTTGCACAGTACTTGGCTCAGCCATCTATGATACCCTCATAGCCAAAATAATGTAAACTTATACCATTGGTTTAGCAATCCTGAGGATTTGATTTATAGAGAAAGCAAAAAAGAAAATTTAATTTTGGTTACACATCAAAATGCAAATGTTGGTAGTACTTGACAAAACAAAAGTCAAGATAGATCTGAAGGAAGTTATAAAGTGGGAAAGAAATGAGAAATTTTAGGCATGTTATAACATTGTTATTCTCCAAAATGGGAACATTTAAACCCCTCTGAGCCTCAGCTCCTACCTATAAAATGAGATTCAAACTCGTACCTAATAAAGTTGTGAGGATTAGTGAATGCGTGTAAAATGTCTAATATGTATGTGGTAAGTACTCAAATAACTGCAGTAATGATAGAGAGGATAAAAGGGAGGCAGGCCTATTGATAGAAGGGAATAAACTCATTCCCTTCTATCCCCTAAAAGGGAGAACCTCAACTTTAAGGTCTATAAATCACCCCTCCGCAGACACTGTCACTGCTCAGAGAGCAGGGTGGCAGTTCTGAATAATGAAATATCAGGGTTGTATGTCCAGCCCACCTAAATGACATGTCAACACTGTGAGTGGTGTTCCATTTCCCATTTTACAGCTGAAAGAATCAAGTGTTTGTGGCTACCTGATTTGCACAGGACCATCCCTGAAGTGGCTAAGCCATGGCTGAAACCTAGCAACTATGACTCTAGATTCCATTGTCCGCCACTGAGCCAAGTCGTGCAATGAATCTGAAACACTGGGTGAGCTCCTGGCATATCCTCTGCACACACTTCTAATGAATAGGCCCATAGATTTAATGAAAGGGGAAAAAAAGATTAATTATTTCTCCCAACAGCTGCATATTATTTACATTGCATTTGTGTTGATGGCTAATAAAAGAGCAAAGGGACAGCCCAGGGTGGCTATAATTATTCCAGTGTCCATAATGAGGCACCCGATTAAATACCAGCATGTGAGCGTGGATGAGTCTGCTGCCCCTTTTAGACCTGCAGTAGGCAGAGCTGCCGTCTGCCCTGGAAATGACTCAGTCAGCAGAAATGGGCCTTAGGGGCCAAGACCTGAGAATAGCAAGGCCTATGTCCCTGCCCCACTAAACTGCCTCTTGGTTAGTTCATGATTGCTGTGGAATAGGTGGCTTGGGTTGAAGCTACCACCAACCCTGAAACAGCTCTTTACTCACCCTTTGAAGCATGGTGGGTTGAGCAGGGTGGCCAGGAGCCACTGCAATGAGGCTGTTCTCAAATCTATAAGCTCTTGCTTTGCCATTATTACTGAACAATATGTAATACAATATGTATATATTGTAACAGGTGTTATATGTTAGAATGTGTATTATATACATGTTATAATATGAATGTGTGTGTGTCTGTGGTTGCTTTTTGGATATGGAGTATGAATGAGTTTTTGGTTTTCTCTTCTTTATCAACGCTGTGGTCATCTTGGAAAGTCACACCTGTGGAAGTAGTTTCTTCATTGTTTCATATTAATCACATCTACCTCTCAGGTTGTCATGGGAAGCATTACATATGTGATGACACTTTTAAACTGTGAAGCAGGGTGTGAGGATTGGCATCAGGGCACCTTTGATTATTGTAAGGGTCCCTCTAACCTGTTGTTTTGTTTCTAAAGCACCTATTCTGCACCTAGATTTCTCTGATGTGACTGGAAAGTAAAATCAAACCAAGGCACTCACAATTGAGTAAACAGATTAATATTTAGAACGATCACTCTTAATGCCAGAATGGAAATTGGATTAGAGTAGGACAAGACTTCTTGCTAGAAGACCAGTTGCGGCTGCTATCCAGATAGGAAACAGCTGGGCCAGACCTAATCAAGGTGATGGAATTGGCAGAAATGAGATATTCATCAGTTAAGATTCTCACGCAGGAATATTACACCAATAATGGCATGTCTTATTTTATTCTTCCACCCGTCATTAGTGCCTGTTGACTATAAGTATTTTGTACTCATTTTCTGTGGCTGCCTTAACAAAGTACCACAAATGGGGTGACTTAGAACAACAGAAATTTATTGTCTTACATTTCTAGAGGCCAGAAGTCTTACGTCAAATTGTCAGCAGGACCATGCTTGCTCTGAATGCCTCTCCACTGGCTTTGGGTAGTTCTCTGACCTGTGACAGCACAACTCCAACCTTCCTGTGACATTTTCCCTGTGTGCATGTCTGTCTCTGGGTCAAAATGTCTACTTTTTATAAGGATACCAGTCATTTTAGATTAAGACCCACCTGAATGGCCTCATTTTAATCTGATTACCTCCATAAAGGCCCTATGTCCAATTAAGTTTATATTTCAAGCTACTGGAGGTTAGGACTCCAACCTATGTTCCTGGGGACGTAAATCAACTGGTAATGTATATTTGATATGTATTTTAAGTATATTAATTGTTCATTAGATAATATATCATTCAGCTAATCAAGTTATTTTCTTTTTATTAATTTATTTACTTTTTAAATACATTTGTCTCTGCCTCCCCCCCCCACCTCTTTCCCTTGCCCCCTCCCACCTTCCCTCCCTCAGCTCTTCCCCTTTGGTTTTGTCCATGAGTCCTTGCTATATGTTCCTTGACTTTCCCCTTCCCTTCCCTTTCCCTGTCCCCCCTTCCCTCTTGTCTCTGTTGATTTCAAGTTATTGAAGAGAAACTTAAATTGCTAGATAATTTAGACCATTTAGATAACAATCTCTAAGTCATCAGGAGATATCCAAATGTTTGTCACATCTTTACTCTTTATAGATATATTAGTACTCATACATACATGTATGTGTATAAAATGCAGTAACAGTTCCTAATTGTGGTTCAGATTAGGCTGAGGTCAGAAATCCTAGCATACAGCCATAATCTGAAAGTCTGTTGATTGATAACAGATTTTAATTCTGAAACATCGATTAGTAGACAGTAGTTTTTGAGAATAAAATCTTTTAAACAATTTTTAACAGTACCTATACTGGGTATCGAGAAATGGAAATATTGGGGATTTGGTAAGGTAAAAGATCCATGATCTCAGAAACAAAAGCTGTATTTCAGCCTCATTGCTCATCTTACTTTCTGCATGCATGGAGTAAATTGTTGAACTTCTCTCTGCATTTCTCTAAAGTATCCTTGGGTATAAAATGAGGCTAACACGGTCTGTGTCCCTCATGTGGTTATGATTGGGTAAATATACAATATTGGTAATATCATTATGAATTAATTATTCAAATGATGATCTTAAAAGTCAATCTGTTTGTTTTATTTTTCCATAGTTAACAAGCACAAGCCATGGATCGAGACTTCATATCATGGAGTCATTACTGAGAACAATGACACGGTCATTTTGGACCCACCACTGGTAGCCCTGGACAAAGATGCACCAGTTCCTTTTGCAGGTGAGATGAAGGCTTACTGTGACTGGGCTTGGCTCACTGTGGAGACAAGCTGGGAAACCTCACAGAGCCCATGCTTGGCCTTTACAGCTGTTATCACTATGCTGTGTATCTTGTAGATCAGCCTGTGATTTCAAAGCGTTATGCCTCTTCTGATTCCTGGTGTGGATTCTCTATCTCCTTATGGTTTTTCTCCTGGTGTCACCTCCAATGTAAGGGGCTTATTTCTTCTTCTGAGAAATGGTATATTGCTGAAGTGGCCCCTGTAAGATGGAAAACTTGGGCCAGTAAGGTCTATAGGGAAATCTTCTCAAGAAAGATGACCCATAGACATGAGAAAGTATGTGCCCCACTGTTTCCACTACCCACATATTATGGGCATGTGAAATGTGTAGGTTGGTAGATTAGTGAGAGGAAATGAAAAGAAAAGGATTAGTAAATATTTGCTACAAGTAGGACAGAGCCGTGCCCTTGAGCTTCAAAGTGGGTGTTGCTTTTGGAGGAAGAACCCAAAGGCAGTGCCATTTTGCCCTCTGCCGCTTATGGACAGAGAGCCTTCTCATTGTTTTCAAGACTGCAACTACTTCCTCCTCTAAGCTTTTGCAAAGTCTAGGTCCCAAGAGGGGTGTGTGAAGAATCTGGCTATGTCTCATGCTTCCATAGATTTTGGCAAAGAAAAGGGAATAGGTATTGGCAGGAGGTGGAGAGATGGAACAAAGAATGTATGAAGATGCCTGCATCATAAGTAATATTGTTAGCATTTTATAACTGTCAGGAGAAAGACAGGAAATTTAATGAAGGTTTTCAAGATTTGTAGAAGATTGTTTTATGATAGATGGATGCCAGGCTGAGGTTTTCACCATGATGAAGTCTATTTTTTCTGACAGTTCATCTGCTACATTATGAGCTACTTGGGCAGAAAAAATTGGCTCTTTTCCCTTTGAAGGGATAAGCTTTGTGAAGGTCCTTTTTTCATTATGGAATATTATAAAGTAAGGGGTGAGGGGGTGGGTTAAATGGGGCAAATTCAGTGTTATGGGAAGATAAACCCGTAAGCATTCCTGCAGAGCATGGGGGGATGCTCTTGACTCTCAAAAGAAGGCTCTATCTTGATTTCAGGTAGAATGGTAACCACCAAGGGCATGTGACTTCCGTGGCGTTTAGAGTTGGGACATTCCCTAGGACTTCCAGCCATCCCGAGGGGTCTCAGCTTAACCAGATTCCACCAGGAAATATAAATACCATGCTGGTCTGTCTCCCCCGCTCCCCCCTCCCCCGCCCCCGCAAAAGATGAGGTGTCTTCTCCAAATCTTTGCCAGCCTGGGAATATTCCAACTCATCTTTTTCTTGGATATAACTAAACAGCATTGGGGTTAATCAGCAATTCTTAACAATCCTCAGAAATGAGTTCTAGCAAAAAGCTTTGGGCTATGAAAATGTTTGGTTTGGCACACACCGTGTGCTTTAAAAAAACAGATATAACATTTAGATATTGGGAGATTTAACAGAAAAAAGGGAGGATTCTGGTTTATCTTGATGAATTGGATCGGAAATCCAGAGCTGAGTTGCCACTGCCCTGTCTAGATCGTGCCAGGTGCCCCTGGCTTCCCTCAGCCTCTTCTCTTCTCAAAACCTGTGCGCAGTCATTCTTCCACTAAACACATCCTCTCAGTCACCTTTCCATTGGAATCTGTGACCCCTCTTTAAAACATAGCAGAGAAAACCAGTGACATTTTAAATGGGAAGTAAATGGATGCCGTTAAGTCACTTTAGTGTGGTGAGGCTAACTCTAAAAGTGGAGGGATGTGCCTGATTAATATCTGCCCTCAGTGTAGCCCTGTGTCGTCCATTAGTGGACCAGGAAGCTAAGAAGTTGTTGAGTAAGCTGTTCTACAGTCAAGTGATAAGATTTCTAATGTACAGACCAAAATGAGAGAGCATTTCAAGCAAATCTGATATTTGAAAGTTTGGATTTACAAAAGATGACTTACCTTCTTTGGTTGTTGGGCAGAGGGACAATTAACAATTTTATCTGATTATTCACCAAAGAATTTCAGAAATCATAAGCCTACCAAATGCCTTTAAACTTGAATTTGTATTCTAACCATTGTTTGTGCCCATGGGTTTTAAGGCACATCTTGAAATGAAGGTTTCGTTCTAAGCTAAGCTCTGACTAGTTATTTTCATCTGAAGACAATTTCTATGTTTCTCCTGATAGTTGCAGCTTCATTTTTTAAAAAAATCTAGCTTAATGCATCAAATATAATCTTCTAAGCTTTTAAGAGCAAAAAATAAAAAGATGCTTTTTAAAATGGTCAAAGCTATTTTTCTCTTTGTTATTTATGATTAGCTCTAAGACAGGACACAGGCACTAGCCATCCATCCATGCTGCAGGGTTTATTTCAAAACATTTATCTTAAAAAGAAAATAAAGATTTATTTCAGATCCCTATCATTCTCATAAAATTGAAAAATTCATATCTGCCAGCTCCATCACTTCTTGAAGTCAACTGCAGCTTTTCGCCCCCCCTTATCAACCAGTCTTGTATTGTGTGTCACTTTCCACCCCTTTCCCAGGGGTCTTTATTTCCAATTTAGCCTGTGAGGGTGAATTATATGCTTTTTGGGAGGTGGTTCCATCCGTATTATTTTTGCTCTGTTTTGTTTCTCTTGTAATTTCCACTCCCCCTTTAAAAAATTTTTTTAAAGAAAAATTTTCTATGTAAAGTGTCTTTTAAATAAAAATCATGATTCCATTTTGCATAAAATGCAAAGTGCAAGGATATAAAATAGTTTTTATTGTATATCTCCTGATTATGACAATAGTATTTATTGTAGAAAAATGTGAAAAATATAATGAAGCACCAAAAAATATCTGAACAATGTTTTCTTACTCCCAGAACCTTTGTAAACATTTTAATGTATCCCTTCTACTCATTTTTCTACTCTTTTTTCTACCTTATAGTCAATAATATAACTTATTTTTTTCACTAAAAAATGAAAATACTCTATTTTATTAAATATTGTTCTACAACTGATTAAATGGCTAAATGCATTCCTACTCAATTAATATTCTATAATTTATAATTGCTTTTCCCCCCAACTTTATTGAGATATATTGACATATAACATTGTATAAGTTTAAGGCATACAATGTGTTCATTTAATATGTATATTGTGAAATGATTAAACCATAGCCTTACCTAACACCTCCATCACCTCACATAATTACCATTTGCATGCATATGTGTGTATTATTGTTAATTGTAATCATCATGTTGTATATTAGATTCCCAAAACTTATTCATCTTCTAACTGAAAGTCTTTACCTTTTGATAAGCACCGCCCTATATCTCCCACCCTCCCTGGTAACAACTTTTCTACTATGTTTCTATTGAGTTTGGTTTTTCAAAGCTGATTACACCTGTAAGTGAATTCACATATTAAGTAATTTCATATATGTGGTTTCACATAACAGATCTTATATATAAGTGATATCAGGCAGTATTTGTCTTTCTCTGCCTGGCTTACTTCACCAAGCATAATATCCTCAAGGTGGTCCATCCACATTGTAGCAAATGTCAGGATTTTCTTCTTTCCCATGGCTGAATAATATTCCATTGTGTGTGTGTGTATAAATCTCCTTTCATCTGTTGGCAGACACTTTGGTTGTTTCCGTATCTTGGCTATTGTGAATTATGAGGCAATGAACATAGGAGTACAGATATCTATTTGATATCCTGATTTTATTTTCCTTGAATACATACCCTGAAGTAGGATTTCTGGATCATATGGTAGTTCCATTTTTAATTTTTTAGGAACTTCCATTTTTTTTTTTTTTTTTTTAGTGGCTGTACCAGTTTACACTCCCATTAATGGTACACAGCGTGTGATTTAATAACAATATAATGGAGTCACCAATTGCAGTAGCCTCACTTTCTTTATCTAAAAAATAATATAAGCTTTCCAGGGTGGTTGTTTGATTAAATTTAAAGAATGTCTATGATGTGTGTTTTATTTAAGTATTCTTTTCCAGATCCTTCTCCATGCACGTTTCATAGATGAAATATCTAAATCACAGGGAAGCCAAGCTGTAACACCGTCTCGATATCCCAGAGCAGGCGAGCTGTGGGGCTGCTCTTCGCACCATGTGCTCCGGGTTTCCTTTCCCTATGACACTGCCTTTTGATACTTGCCCCACCTGATTAGTAGAGGTACCAATTCTTAGTCAACGAAACTTCCCTCAGACCTCATTTAGGTCCATTATACTTAGACTCACTCCTCAACCCAGTATCGGAGCCCAGTGGACATGACCTTCTAAGAGAATCAGATGCAGAAAAATCCTTGAGTAATAATGAAAATTGTATCCACTTCATAGCAAAAACTGATCATGAACGCAAGCTGGGCACATTTTGAACTTACTAATTTCCACACGAGCCCCACTGAGGCCTGTTAGGAAACTGTGGAGATGTTTAAATTTGAAGGGAATTAGATTACCTTTCAGAGAAAATAGAACTGCTCATTTGTCTATACTGGGCCAGTCTGGACTTGTCTTTTGTAAGGACAGGGCTTCAGAGAGTGATCAGGCATAATTGGCTGGCTTCTCAGGCTGGGCGACTCTCTGAAGGCTGCCCAGAAAATTGCCTGGGACATGATTTGGCCTGGCCTGATGGCTGGTTGCAGCATAAAGTGCTCTTTTCCCCATGATTAACTCTGTTTGTCCTCTTCATTCTGCTCAGCTTCTATGCATTTACCTGCCTGCAAATCTTTGGACCTGCCCAGGGCTCTTTGTGCTTCAGGCCCCACACGTGCATGATGACAAAGACCATCCCCTGAGGGCTTGCAGTGCCATGGTTTCTTATGGTGAGAAGGGAATGCTGGTTGTGAACAGTGGTGGGCTTTGGCCAGATGCACAAGGTTTTACATTTAGACTCTGCCATTTACTACCTATATGGTCTCTGTTGAACTACTGAACTCCTCTGAGGGTCAGTTTCCTCATATTTA